ACACATGATGGACGTTAAATCCAGTTACAGTAGTTTACCTCTTCACCTATGTGCAACGACAGCAAAAGCGAATGCAGTAATGTAGTCCTTTCGATCGTTTCCCTTTTTATATGTTACAATGAGTTTCACGCACACATGCCCGACTTGTGCTACTTTTGTAAATGATTAGCACACTTGTACCGAGTAAAAAATGATTATCCGTCGATACGCTAATTCACCGACGATTATAGTCGATGTACAATTTTATTTGTAACATGTATATGTGTATTTTTTTTTATACTGCAATGAAAACGATAGATACGATTTAAATCTGATGACTTGGGTCTATTCTATTAAACAATTTAATTGCATTATTATAGCACTGTATATTAAGATATTATTACAGTTTTTAGATTATATAACTTCTTTATCGAAAGTATCGTATTTAAACATTTGTGTAAATTGGAACTATAATAGTTTCAATCTATAATAGTGATTTATATATCTGAAATATACATATATTAAACATGTGTATTTAAAAAATAAGATCTTAAATTATGTAAATCAGTTATCAAAAATGTAGTTGTTTGCTTGAATCGACATTTATACATTTATACAACTTTATTAAAACATTAATTATTCAATAATATTATATATAAAATAATCACTATAAAAATTTAATTATATAATAACGTTGAAAAAAATAATAAACATAAAATCATATAATTACTCTTATTTCTATATTCAATTATTTGTTTATAAATTTTATATGTATATTTGGTATCTATAAATGCTTTTCTTCATTTTTTATATATATACAACTGTGCCTTACTTTACAAATTTCTAAAGCACACAATTAATGATAATATAGGTTGCAACAGGGACATTGTCGTTATCACGTGTTTCACTGGTCAATAAAAAAATGGGACTGTTTGTGACATTGCACTTTTATCTTAATATTTGTAATATTTAACGAAATTATGTCAATGTTATATTCTTACGAAACATGAACATTTATAGTATATATAAATAGCCGCAAAGCTAAACAATGATAAAAAGAAATATGACATACGTTAAAATACGTTAAAATATGAATACATAAGTATATATGTGTATAAAACTCATTCTCAAAGAAAAAAAATGTGTAAAATAATTTTATTAACTTTCTTATTAATCTAATGTAACGTCGAACCATCAAATTTAAGAAAAACTTTATTGGAACGAGAAAGGATTAAGAAAGAGGACGGATAAAAAGGAGGTATGGAAGGACGCAAAGGATAGACAAACTGGCTCATACATACATAGAAGCGCAATCCACGAGTCGAATGCACTTTTGCTCTGGGATATCGAGCAATGTCCTGAAAAGAAAGCTACAACGCTTTTTTCCACAAGCAGTGCTGTTCATCGGTCCTATTCTGGACAAAGAACTTAATCCAGTTAAGTAGTTCCTTATAGGCCAGAACTAAAATGCGATTTCTGTAAAGAGGAATAATCACAAAATTTCAAAATTTACATGGAAATCTGTAAATTTCTCCTCTCATTCATTTATTGTAAACTAATATCATCTTTTACGTTTAATCTTATATTAACGTAAAATTTCATATTTATTTTTTTTATATACACGCCAGGATTGCACTACGTAGTTTTTGTTCCATTATACCATGCTATTTATTTATTTTTATTTTTACTGTTAATAGCGTGAATCTTGTTCGATTGACACTATCTTTTTTACGTTGTAACAATTTAAGCGATGCAGTTATTAAAATGAATACATAGTACAGTTATTTTTTATCTCTCCTGGTTATCCGTTCTATTTCTGCGGAACTTTGTACAAATTTAATTTATAGAAAAAATTAATTTAAACACAAAGACATTATCAAATTCGTATCTATTTATCAATGCATCAAATGTCTGCAATAAATGCCGTTTACGCCGATATTAGATGCATTCGTACATTCTATTGATTCTTGTAATGTCGCCCTCGCTAATGCCCTCTCTTTGGCCGATTTTTGCGTTTGGATCCTGAAAATTTTCAACAATAAGATTTCGGTGCCACTACGAAAATTATTCTTACGTAAGGATAAAGATGCCTAAGAATACGCATTGTGCAAGAATATAATAGTTAATATTTTGATGTAAACAATAGTATAATTCAGTTTGCATCACTAATATATTATGATCTAGAAAGTTCTATCAGTGTGTGTTAAATTGTAGGATATTAATTATATTGTTTTATTATGTCTGAGAATTAGAGGATACATTAACGTTTTTTTTATCAATTACAATTATAATTTTTCTTCTATATTAAAATGATGAAACGGTGGGATATCTCGAATATACTTTTGTAGATGATAATAACTGATCTAGTAATGTAATAGTGTGTGTGTGTGTGTGTTGTGCACGCAAGGTGAAGCATATGGATACATTTGCACTTTAAAATTGCGTATTTTTGAAACCAAGTCCAGATTTAAATTCCATCAAACACATTGGGATAAACTTCTGAAAACGTCAACCCTCCGATTTCAATGAAATTTTGTCAAGCTTTATTTTGATCTAAAATAAAAGCTCTTAAAGGGATTTTTATCAACTCCTATGAAAAAATCATGTTTCTTAATACAATAATAAAAATGAGATAAATTAGTCGATGAAAAAAGAGTGCCCGTTTTTAATCTGATATTCTTTACACTAACTGAAATATATTGTCAAAGTCATGACCCTGAATAACATTCCAAAGGTTTAAGCCGTTAGTTGTTTATTAAAATGTTATTAACAAAATAAGTTTTGAAAAATATATCAATTTAGACGAACAAAATAAAATACCATAATAATTCTTGTTTAATTGCTGAACAGATGTCAACGGCTACCATTATGGAAAAATATTATTGGGTGGGCTAATAAAAAAATCTGTTGAAACAAATATTGTACAATCAGTAATAATAATGGTAAGAAGATAAACTTTTTAAATATTTAAAAATATTTGTTGCATGACTAAATGTTTATTACTCTACATGTACATCCGTACACGAGAAACACAAGTACATTTATAATATTTAATCAAGATTAATACTTATTAATAATACAAATTACGTTTGCCAATAACATAGAAAAGAAGACTTATAATTAGTTATATGTTTTATACACAGTGCTAAATTTTCTTTATTTCTTCATAACATATAAATTTTTCTTAAATATTTTTAATTTAGAATTTTCTTAATACATTAGAGAAAGCTATTATATATATATATTAAAACTATTTTTTTCATCAGTATAATCTTTGATATAAATGCCAATTGCAATCAAATTATTTGCATCCGTACATTCTCTTGATTTTTATAATGTCTGACCTGCTATAGCCTTTTCTCTGACCGATTTGTTCTTGTGCATTTTTATCCTGAAATATGTTAAAAAATATCTCAATGTCAATACAAAAATTATTCTTATACTTATATGCTTAAAACATACATAGATATGTATAATTTAATGTAGCACGTATATTTTGCAAATTTGTGTATAAGTGATTGCTATTTTCTATTTTCAAACGGTAAATTGATAACTTGTGAATTTATCTCTGTTCAGAAATTAATCTACTCTATCAAGGAAATCAACCGTTTCATGACATATAGGATATTTATAAAAATAATGATTACTTACCGTTGTAACAATGGTTGGTTTGCTCTTATCTTTGGCAAACGCGTATGCTGAGTAATGCATCACGCTGCCGTAATCATAAGGAACTCCATAAGCATAGAGCCGCCCCTTTCGAGCCTTCTCAAAATTTTTCTCGTGTCCTAAATATACATATAATATACATATATGATAATGAAAGAGTTTATAATACAGATCTGTAGAATAATCTCTAAGGAGAGACTCAGACGTGATAATTTTAAAAAAATCTGAAACTTATGGTACATGATGTGTATGACTTAGACATTATTTTGGCTAAACAATAAGACGCACTTTTTAGCCAATGTCGAGAAAAATTTTTTCTTTTATTTTAATGTTTACGTCATTTCTATTTAAAATTAATCAAATTTATTATAATCAACGGATATTCAATATAAATATATGAAAAGAAATAATATTAAAAATAATTAAATCAAGGTAACAAGGATTCGAAATAAAGTATTTTTGTGATTTTAAAGATTAGGAAATAAAGATATAAATAATGTGTAATATTATTTATTCTTTAATTGGTATTAGACACTATATATCGTACAATCTTTTATACGTCAGCTTTATAAGTATTGCGTGAGCCTGGATAATATTTGTCATAAAAGCAGGGGAAACACACCGTTTCATGGCATATAGAACACATAAATGCAGCTTTGCCATATGTGCAAGATTTTTTGAGGCTATTGGCAAAGCATACTTGTTATTTGCCATCAAGTCTCAAAAAATCTTGAGCATGTGGCAAAGTTGCGTTTATAATGTGTTCTATGTGCCACGAAACGTTGTGTTTCCCTCGTCTTTTATGACGAATATCATTCAGATTCATGCAATACTTATAAAGCTGACGTATAAAAGTTTGTACAATATACAGTGACCAATAACAATTAAAGAATAAATAATATTATATGTTATTTGTATATTCTATTTTTTCCTAATCTCCAAAATCACAAAAATACTTTATTTTGGATCCTTGTTACGTTGTTTAATTTGATTGTTGCATTGGGTTTTATTTATCGCAAGTTTTGGTTACATTGTAAATGAAATTTTTTCAAAAAATAGGCATTTACCGATAATATCCATATAATTAAAAGAAATAATAATTTATTTCCACAGAAACGTTATCCGTCCGGTAAAGGATGCACTGTAGCGTCTCTGTCAGTACAAAAATGCATCTATAATCGTCATGTAGTGAAAAAATGTACTTGGCGGCAGCCGCTACCGCGTCTTCTGATGTGTGTTTTATATATTTATATTGAATATCCGTTGATTACTATAAATTTGATTATTTAAATAGAAAATACATAAATATTAAAATTAAAAAATTTTTTTCTCGACATTGGCTGAAAAAATAATGTCTAACAATAAGTAATACACTTCACGTACCATATGTTTCAGATTTTTCTAAAATTACTACGTCTGAGCCTCACTTTATCAGTCAATTAACAACTATTACTTGTTAGAAAAGTGTTATTTAGACATAATGAGTCATTGTCTCGATGATATGACATTTATATTATTAATAATTCTTAAATTAAAAACAAATTGTTTGAGATTTTCTAAAGTCAGAATGTCGATAGAAGGCAGATAGAAAAAAATTATCACTTAAAAGATGCACACGTTATTTTAATATATTAATTACAAACTCAATGGTATTTCAGATATTAATAAATGAAAAAAAGTACTCTTTAATTCAATAGTTCAATTTCAATTAAACATCCAATTAATCATTATTTAAACGTAATAGGTTTTAATTATAACTATACATACCTTTTTCAACATTTTCCAATTTAATTTTCACGTAAGAATCTCGGTCGTATCTAGATTGTTCGTGCCAAAAGCCCATAGCATGAGTGATCTCATGCATGGGGGTTCCTATAGTATGCGCACAACCGTTATGCAAGTTCACCTCTTGTTCACCTGTGCCTTGCATGCCAATCGGGCTCCGGCATCCAACATTTTCGCTTTTAATATTAATATAATTGATTTGATTCGTCCTTTTTACAAGTCGTATGCATCCTTTTAATTTCATATTAATTTCGTTTATCCCACCAATTATATTGTTACTTTCAGCCTTAGCTGTAATGTAAAAGTTATAAACAAAAATGATTAAAACCATAAATAAATTTGAGAATACCTTTTGTGGACAAGCTGCATCTTGGTGTATTTTAGATTTTAAAATAAGTGATTGAATTTATGCAAATTAGATATAATTTACACAATAAAAACGTTAACCATCTATTATACGCTTAGGAGTATATATTTAATTTATTCAATATTTAATTTTTTTTTAATATTTGCATTGAACATAATCAGAAAACAGGTTAATAATAATATCGGTATTATTATTTCATTTTATTTAATATTTGTTTTTCTAAGTTAGTAATATTAGAAATATTACTAAATATATCTGTTTAAAAGTCGATGTAATCATGAAGAAAAACGCGAGTAAGAATGATGTGGTTGTCACATTTCATATACTATGGATATCTTTGTTAAAAAAAAAACTGTCTGTGGGTGAAGTATAAAAGGTGTATTTAAAATTTTTTAAATTGTTAAATATGTATCAAAAAATAACATAACATAAAATATATATTTATATATACGTATTTATCGTATATATTTATTATGGAATAAAAATTTATTAATTGGAAAATTTAATATTTTTTTAGTTGTATAATATTATGCTATTGTATAACTATATGCATATATCGTGCAATATTTTATTATTCTTCCAATATGGTCTTCAAAAAATTAATGAAAAATTATTAAAAATACTTTTTCTTTTATTATTTCGATATAATTATATTCGAAACCAAAAGTTCGAATATATTGTATAATATATTACATAAAATTTGATTTAGATTCTGATATTCTCGATATTACATTATGTGTCTAATGTGATTTAATATCATTGTAATTTTTTTATTTGGAAACATTTGATATTTTTACAAAGACTATTCAATTATAATGAAATAATACCTAGCTATTGAATTTCAAATCATTAATTTCGAAATTAATTAATTCGCGAATACTTAAAATTGCAAAATATCTGAATTTTTATTCTCAAAGGTACTTACTGTAGCTACCAGTAATTGTGTAGGGAATAATGCCACCAGGCCAACGCTTTGCCTTAGTATCACCGTTTCTTGTGGTGCTATTTGAAATCATGATATCTCCCTCGAAGTAGTTACCCAATTCCTCAGGGTTCATTTTCATATCTTTGGTCCATTGCGTTACCTTGACTCCTGTTTCGTAATCCGGTTCCGTCTTGTAATT